AATTTCCTGTGGTTTTGAAGCTGAGAGTAACTACAACACATGCAACCATGAGGAAGTAATTCAACTCGGGAATGTAAACCTGACCCTCGTGCTTTGCAGATGTGTGAATTACCTTCACCCTTGGGAAACAACCTAGACTTTGGGCCTGAGCCACAATAGAAAAAGCTCCAGATATCATTGCTTGACTTGCAATAATGGCCGCAACAACAGCCACTACAAATGTTGGCCAGTAAAGTGGATCTGTAAGCAACACCAACAAAATCAATATTATGCATGGTATTTATAAAGTAAATAATTTTATGATTAGTTTATCTTTCACGACCCAGGCTCAACTGCCAAAATATTGTCCACTTTGGTCCGATCTTTGGTGCCTCACAGTGTTTTCCCATTGGGCTTTAACCCAAAAGGCCTCAATATCTATATAACGAATATGGAAAAAGTTAACAAATTTGCCACATATATATAGGAGACTTGCCTGGAACAGAGGCATAAAAAGCATTCCCCACATTTTCTGGGAATTTTGTAAGGTAAGCAGCTTGCCCAATATAAGCAGAGAGGATAGATGGAAATACTAAGCAACTGAAGCTTATCTGCAATATATATACATGGTGAGTTCACTTAGATTGACCAAAAACTAGAAACAAATATCAAATATAATAAAGGACAATTTAAAACGAAAAGTGTGCCACATAAAAAGGGAAGAGGAAGTACATCTTTTTGATTACTTAGGGCAAAGAAGAAAATAAAAAATGCAGAAGACTTACTTGAACAGACCGCACACTAAAGTGACCCAAATCAGCAAACATAGCTTCGGATCCTGTAATAGTTTCATAAAATAGTCTTTCACCAGATAAGAACACAGACGTGAAGTAGCATGGTATAACCGTTTAATTATACGGATACTGTAAATAAAATTCTAACCTGTAATGCAGAGGATAACTCCACCAAGAGAAAGCCATCCTTTTTTACCATTTCTTTTGAAGTAGTTAAAAATGTATTTGGGATTAAAGGCACGTAAGACACTCACATCATGCTTGAACAAGTTGTACATACCGGTACCACTTATTAAACAAAACCAAATGCATATGGCTGGAGCAAATGAGTATCCCACTTTGTCTGTACCAAAACGTTGAAAACAGAAGAGGGCTACCAGTATTGCAACGGAAACACCCACAATCGCTTCTGCAAGGATCATTATCCATTTTTTTCAGTTGTTTGATCATTGAAATTGAATAAGAGAAAAAGAAGAATTCATTAGCATCCTTTTAATTTCTATACCTTGGCCTAGAGGCTTGATCCCACTTACGGCAGAGAGAACTGCACATGAAACACACCAGATTAAATAATGATTTATCTTATATAATTATTATTTGTGTTATTTTTTCTGTTGTAGCAGGTTTTCCGTCTTTTTTATTTGTACTACTTATTATTGACAATTACTTATAGTTTTCTTTTGGGTGACTTGATAGTACAAAAATTCTTTTATTGTTAGTGTATAATGGGTAAGGTGTGCGTACACACTGCTCTGCCCAGACCCCAATTGTGGGATTTTACTAGGTCGTTGTTGTTGTTAGTAGTGTATATAGAACTGAGGGAGTATGACTATATCTTACATATCTAATTAAAAAAAATTTAGAAGTCTTTTGATAAGTGATATTATGGCTCAATTTGGGTTACATATTTATACCTCAAGACCAGCCCAACCTTTAGATGCGCTGACTTGGGATGTGCCCAAATTGACTCGTCATTTAAATATACTCAGCAGGTTGGACAGTTTATATCTTTATGAGCTAATTTCGGCAGTACTAGTTTGATATGATGATCAAGGGATGGGATAGAGAGTGTATATTGATATTTAGAGACCTGAGATGGAAGGAGTGATAATTCCATCGCCAATGACCATCGATGTTCCAAGGATCGCAAGGAAGACAAGAAACAATCTTGCAAATTTAGTGTTTTCCAACTTATGTTTGATATTCTGAGCCCTTCTAAATTGATTTGATGGTATGTCCAGACCGTAGCGGGAAAGCTCTCTATCCTCTGGCTCCTGGTTTGGGATGAGACTCACTTTTGCATGTCGACATATTAAGGAATACAACGCAAATGCTCCCCCTGTGTGCAAAAGAAGCAAATAATTAAACATGTTGGGGTTAACGATCATAGCACTTAATTTTTTGTGTGAGCTCGGGCATAAATTCTTCAATTTTTTTGAAATAAAATTTACATATATGAAACTACTTCAAAAGTGCTAGTCGTAAGACAACATAACTACTAATTCAAAATATTAAAGAAGAGTTTGACAATTTTAATCAAAGACAAACTGTTTGACTCTCCATATAATGATAGCGTTCATAAAATGGGACAGAAAAATTAAACTACTACTGAGATAGCAGTGAGGGACATCTTATAACTCACCATTGCCATTGTCGTTTGCCCATAAGACAGTGAAGACATACTTAGTCATAGGTACGAGGAATATGGTATATATGATGAGGGACAACACGCCCAGAATGTCATTCTTATCTCCAATTTTTTCAGTAAATGTACTTTGAATAGTATAGAGAGGGGAAGTCCCTAAGTCTCCGTAGATAACTCCTACAGACTGAAATGCTAAACTCAGTATCGTCTTCCAATCATCCTGCAGTTAATGCACAATATCACATGTATAATCATCAATGATCATCGATTATCTATATACCTAGCTAATAGCTATAGTACAAAACATTGATTTATACATTTGACACTATAGATTATCTTTATAATATCAGTACAAATTTACAAAGTTATTACTTACCATATTTTTCAGATTGCTACAAATTTACAAAGTTACTACATAGCTTATTTTTCAGACTACTAAACAACAACAACAACAACAAACCCAGCGTATTCCCATAAATGGGGTCTTGGGAGGGTAGTGTTTACGCAGACCTTACCCCTACCTTATAGAGATAGAGAGGCTGTTTCCGATAGACCCTCGGATCATTTTTTCAGACTACTAATTCATAGTATTTAATATAGACAGTTACTTATAATCACATTTCTAATGACCTAATTGTATTAATCTTGAATTGACAAAGTCAGTACTATATAAAACTTAAGTATATGCCTTGGTAGTTTAATTTTTTTGCGTGGATAGTTTCTAATTTTTTAGAGCATCAGGTTAAGATGTATGATTCTCTATAATATGCCTGAATTAATAATACAGAAAATAAAGTAAATGACATGTTATAATGAGTTAAGATGCACTAATCAGAGACAAAACTATATTAAAAGGAAGTGGTTCAATTGAATGCTCTTTATCACAAAATTTTAATGTCTAAATAGTGCAAACAATTTCTTTATATATAAATAATTTTTTTAAATCCTCTTGATATAAGGAGAACTTATTACACTATAAAATAACAGGAATTAGCGATGGACACATTCTATCGCTAAACAGTATAAATCCATTGCTAATCTGTCATCGCTAATCTTATTTAACGACGGATCAGCGATGCAAAAAACCTGTTAACTACGGTTATTTAACAATAGTTACCAACAAATTTTTTAGCTGATTTTTTTTTTGTAGTGCGCTGAAGTGGCAAAGGTGGCTCGAAAACTGCTTTAGGTCACAAGTTTGATTTTCTTTTGTGAAATTCTTGTATTTTCTTGAATTCCCTTATTAAAATTCCAAGTTCTGTCACTGACACCAATTACAAATCCATACCTTAGAGGCATGTCCAGCCAGAGAATTTGACACTTTTCCAGCTTCCAAGTTGAGGGAGTCCACACGGTATAACTTCGCCCATGAGACTTTGCGACCTTTTAGCTGCCCGTTGTTTCTCTTGTTTTCTGCAACCTCTTCTGTATGAAGATCACTATCTGCGCTCGCCATTTCGATTCACAAAAGGGCTTCTTTTCTCTTTGTTTTTGCTTTGCCAGTCACCAGTTTTGCTCTTTATAAGCCTTCAGAAAACTCAGACACTAGCCCAAATTCCCTTCATCCCTAATACTTTGTACTTGCAGAAACTATAATCTAATCTCTAATCTATGTAATCTAAATCTTATATATATGTAAATCAAAGGTCAGGATTTAATAGTTTTCCCTCTTTTAATTAACTTGGAATATGTAAAGACATGGAAAAGGAAAAGACTAAAATGTGCAGATCATTGAACTTAGATAAAATAGTACTTAAATACTTTTCCCTCATTACTTTGCTTTTTCTCCTAATTTGATGTCTAGAAAATCTGCACAAATTAAATACATCCTATTTATGTCATTCCTCATTAGGGGTATCATTTATTTCTTTTCCTGAAATCTCTCCCCTTTACTCCTTTGTCTACCGTTTTCTTCAACTACATTTATCTATTTTCTCATTTTGTTGCTTTTTTTTTTCTCCTAATTTGATGTCTACAAAATTTGGAACAACATTAATTATATCCTATTTATGTTATTCAGCATTATTATCATCTATTTATTTTCTTGAATCTCTTTCCTTTCCTCCTTTGTCTATCATTTTCTTCCTCTACACTTGTCTATTTTCTCAATTTTTTTTGCTTTTTTTCCCTCCTTATTTGATGTCTAGAATACATCCGGCTTATGTCATTCATCATTATTTTCTGTTCACTGAAATCTCTCCCCTTTTCTACGTTTTCTTCTACTACTTTGGACATGAACATGAGCAGCCTAATAAATTTGATTTACTTGACTCTATATGATGCTGAAAAGATGATTCATGTGAATTCATTTCCTGATTTAGTTTCCTCCTTCAACGTCAGGACAATCCTATGATGATTCAGCTTTAAATTTCTTTACAAGCAGTGCGAGCACCATAAGTTCTTGGTTTAGGTTCCATTGTTAGACGAAATTTGGGAGATAAAACGAACTCTTGGCTTTATGATTCATGGGAAGGAAGGACTGGTTACTCTTAGTCTCTTTATATGGAGTTCTAAGTGTGCATGTCTCTTTTATAACACTGATGAAAATTTGCTTTTCCAGTAGTGCTTAATTATACTGTTAGGTGTTTGCTTTTGAAGGAGTTTCGAGCGACTTAGGTCATTCTTTCTGCTATTGATAAAGTTGTAATAGTAGAAAAATGTTTGATCTCATCAGATAAATTTAGTGTCAAACAAGTTGGAACTTGGAATCGAGGGTAGAGAAGGAGTATGTAATACATTTCCAAACAAGTTTGAAACAATACAGTTAAATTACTCAAACTCAAACTGAAAGCTTGCAAACATTAAAGGATAAAAATGTAAAGATATACAAACTGCAAGAAATCATGTAAATCACTTTGTTTGTTATGCGAGTATTTGATAGTACACTTTCACTGAATGATTTTGGAGTAGCTAGGTCACAATTATAATTCATAAGTCATGCCGACCCTTAGCAGCCTAGTTTGAGGAATAGCCATAGCTTTGTCCCCTTGCCTGAAGTTCTTGCGCAAGAAATTATAGCCATAGTTGACAAATGCTTTCTTCAAGAACGAAGCATCTTGTCTAGCCACCACCTCTGCTTCTCCCAGGAGATAGAACACTCCTTGTCCCTTTGCCTTTTTCACAAATTGCATCTCTTCTTCTTCCAAATTTGGGGACACCATTTGTATTCTACTTGATGAACGATTGGACTGTGCTGCTGGAGTGTTCATTGATCGAATTGAACCAGTTGACGAAACTCTAGAATCCACTTGTCGCTGTAAGTCTTCCTCCATGTGGACCCTGGATGATTTTCCGGACACTAATTGTCCAGATACTGGTGGTACAATCTCTCCATCTGTTATTACTTGTTGATCTGCTGCAAGAATGTAATGTTCATGTCTAATGAACTCATTCAATTGTTCCACCAATTGGTTTTCAAAGTCCTCTGTATCCCCAAGTTGATCTTTGTATCCCAACCTAACTACACAGCGGAACACATTGTATTCTCTTGGCTCAACGTGTCGGAACAAGAAACGTTCCTGTAGTGCTACTTTACTGATGGGAATGGATTTTATCGACACCAGGACTATGACTGAATGGACTGACGGAATATTGTTGACAAAATGAGGAAATATAGGTGGAATTCCCTGCACTAGTTCAGAGTAGAGTAATCCTATTCCAGGTACTCTTTTGATGTCAGGATTATTAGCCAAGTCCCTGACGTACTCACTTGACACCTTGTTATTGAGCTCGAATTGGTATCGAAGTTTTTGAGCATAGTGCCAAGTTCCCATAATGATCACGAGCACGGCTGAAAAGGCTAAGGGTAGATAACCACCTTGCGTGAATTTTGTCAGCTGGGCAGAAAAATATGTAGATTCTATGGAAAAGTACACCACGTAGAATAGGGTAATCCACCATATGCTGATTTTCCATATAACAAGCATTACTAGTGTCACCATATTTGTGGTTATAATCTCAGCAGTAACCACAGCTATACCATAAGCATGCCCCAATTTTTCTGTGGTTTTGAAGCTGAGAGTAACTAGAACACATGCGATCATGAGGAAGTAGTTCAACTCTGGGATGTAAACTTGACCCTCATGTTTGGCAGATGTGTGAATTACCTTCACCCTTGGGAAACAGCCTAGACCTTGGGCCTGAGCCACAATAGAAAAGGTTCCAGATATCATTGCTTGACTTGCAATAATGGCTGCAGCAACAGCCACTACAAATGTTGGCCAGTACAAAGGATCTGTAAGTAGCACCAACAAACCAAATAATGAGTGGTGTTCCGTTATATGTGGCTTGCTCTATCACTTAAGAACATAATTTCTATGGGTCGTTTGGTTGGAAACAAGTTATCCCGGGATTAGTTATTCCATCGTCCCATAGGGATATGCAATTTCATCCCAACCAAACATGGGATAAGCTCATTTCAAATTTAATCCCGAGATTAATTATCCCTTATCCTTCGTATCAAACGAACCCTATGAGTTTAGTTTTTTTGCACTGATAGTAGTGCATACTAATTATTTTACACCATCAGGTTAAAAATTGACTTGCTATAACAACTACTATCAATACCTTTGTTATAATTTATGTGACGTAGTTTGACTGGATATGGAATTGAAGAAAGAATAGAAGACTTTTGAAACTTGTAATCTTTATTAAACATGTTATAAATTTGTGTGGCGATAAAAGTTTTTCATTAAGGGTAAAATAAAAGTTTTAAGTTAAATATTTTCAAATATAGGATTTTATCATTTTATATAAAGAAATAGTGTCACAAATATTGGAATAGAGGAAGTAAATGCTTTTCAATTTGGAAAAAGAGTAAATAACTTGTGATATAAAGTGTTATATATACAAAGTAGTTAATATTGGGATGGTATATAATCGTATACTGCTCCTCTGTTCTCAAGATTTCTTTGTCGTGGACTATATTAAAGTTGAAAGGGTTAATAAATTTCTACTTGCCTGGGATGGAGGCATAGAAAGTATTCTCAACATCTTCAGGGAATTTTGAGAGGTAAGCAGCCTGTCCACTGTAAGCTGAGAGCAATGCTGGAAATACGAGGCAACTGAAGCTTAACTGCATTACATATATAGACATGGTGAGTTCACTTCGATTGACAACAAAATATAAAAAGAATAACAAATAAAACAACAATAAGCCCAGTTTGATCCCATAAATGGGGTCTGAGGAGGGTAGTGTGTACGCAGGCCTTACCCCTACCTTATAGAGATAGAGAGGCTGCTTCCGATAGACCCTCGGCTCAAGAAATAATGAAAATAAAGCACCAAGTAGCAAAGAATGTTAGTAACAGTGTAACATAGTAACGTGTGCGAATGCCGCAACATGCGAAATAAAGAACCATAAATAGAAAATTACAAAAATAGTCCTAGTACTATTGAATGGCCTAGGAGGAACACACTACTAATCTGTCAACCTACAACCCTAATCTTCGACCTCTGCACCTTCCTATCGTGGGTCATGTCCTCGGTAAGCTGAAGCAATGACATGTCCTGCCTAATTACCTCACCCCAATACTTCTTAGGCCTACCTCTTCCCTTCCTCAGACCAGCCATGGACAACCTCTCACACCTCCTCACCGGAGCATCCAGGTCTCTCCTCACATGCCCGAACCACCTCAGCCTTGATTCCCGCAACTTGTCCTCCACAGATGTCACACCTACCTTGTCCCTAATAACTTCATTCCTAATCTTGTCGTTCCTAGTATGCCTGCACATCCATCTCAAACATCCTCATTAAAGAAAAATTAAATTTCTTCAATTATGGAGGTTTCACTTGTCCAACTTTGGGTTACTGTCCATATACAAATCTTATTTGTCCATGTTTTCTATTAGGAAATTTCTTAATCAACTAATGTTACATAGACTATGTTATAAATTACACGAGTAATCTTAGTACTTTTGTAGACATTACTTTAGAATAGAAAGTAGAGCCTTAAAACTCGACAGTTTAATATCAAAATTTGCGTACAAGTCGAATTAAGACAAAAGATTGTTCAAATACTAAGTATGTTACTGTCAGGAAGCTAGACTTGGAAAGAAAGAAAAAAAAATTGAACAAGACTTACTTGAATAGAACGCACACTGAAGTGACCCAAATCAGCAAACATAGCTTCGGATCCTGCGAAGTTTCAAAAGAAGTCATTCAACGGATGAAAATAAGTTTAGATTTGTAATCTCAAATATGACAAATACATTCAATAACTAGCTAAATTAAATTATACTAATAGTGTAAATAGAATTGTAACCTGTAATGCAGAGGAAAACTCCACCAAGAGACATCCATCCTTTTGTACCGTTTCTTTTGAAGTAGTCAATAATGTATTTGGGATTAAAGGCACGTAAAACGCTCACATCATACTTGAACAAATTGTAGAGGCCAATGCCACTTATAAACAAAAACCAAATGCAAATGGCTGGAGCAAATGTATATCCCACCTT